TATAAATTTTCAACAGGTAAAGGGGAGGGGCAACTGAATGAGCGTAGATCTTGAGACTCATGACAGGATAATAAGAGAAAATGGCACGCCTCATGTCACTATGAACAGAGTACAGAGATGAGCCATCAAGGTTAACCACTCTTTGCTCGCCATATGTCATAAACTATAAACCAACCAAGGGGTCACGTCAGTTCATTTTAAGGTGGAGGGAGACTATTTTACCGATTGTAAGTCTTAACACGGGTCCCCATAGATTCTTCCCTGGGATCGTTGGTTAAGACCCCGGTTCGCCTAAGATCCCGCATTTCTTTGCTCCCGAGCACTGGGATCTTAGGTGAAGACTACTACTACTACTACTACTACTACTACTACTACTACTACTACTACTACTACTACTACTACTACTACTAAATAATAATACATGTAATAACAATAGATATTATTTGTATAGCGCAAATCCCCGCTCAACAGCAAGCTCTATGCGCTACTACAGTACTATGGAGGGCTCATCAGCCTGAAAGAAACGCCACTTACTTTCCAGATGTTGCTGCCTTGTCTTGGCCTATAGGAGGGATGTTGTATTGATCCCACAGGAGAAAGTGAGACCGAATCTTGCTGAGCTGCAGTCGCTCTAAGGTTGTGTTTTCTAACTTGGGCACGCTTAATGTTGCTTTCGGAGTCTCCCTCATGGCGAGACTAGACACGAGGTAGACTGTGGTCAGTAATCCGCATAGGCTGATGGCGTAAACTACATTCCTAAAAGATACCATGGCGCAATCCCTTAGTCGTCGTTCTGTACCTGAAAGAAGAAAAAAGAAAAGTGAATTAAAAAATTAAGTTTTAGTAGAGGTTTTACGGCGCTCGCAACTGCATAAGGTCATGAGCGCCAGACGATTAGAGGTGTTACAAGAGAGTAACAAACATAAAAAAGAAAAAGGGGATATAAGGAAGATAGATGTTTCATAGGAAAGAAGAAGCAAACCACACCAGACCACCCGCCAACCACCCACAAAAGTGAATTTATCGATGCTGTTATAGCGGGCGCCTCGTTGTTGTCTCTCTCCCCACCACCACCCCCTTCTTCCACACACCTAATTTTCCTCATTATGGCAGTGAAGATTGTTAATATTTTACGCCTATATCGACACAATTTAGGTTAAGTACATGTATATAATTATGTAAGGGCTTCTTCGACCCTGATTGTTGGTCTTCCTCAAAACATTGAGACCAAGAACGGTAGCAGTGATAGTAGTAGAACAAGGAGGTTACAGTAAGGTCCTTGTAGTAGAAGCACCAAAGCCTACTTTCTGCCTCGTGATCTTAACCAACAGATCCCTCTTTTACTTCATTTTATCATTCAATAGCTGGATCTAGAATACCCCTATTTGTTAAAATTTGTTTGTGTTGACCTATCGCGGTATTTTCGGACCAGACCCT